AGAATCCGGTTAAAGTTCTATATGAAATGCTTAACCACTCATCGTATTCCTGGTTCACTAGCATGATAGGATTTTTTTACATGAAGGGCATTGGGACTGTTACTGATAACCAAATGGCATTGAAATTCTTTAGTATAGCCGCCAATAAAATAATTGATGTCTCACCCTCTAATTCCCTACTTTTAAGGAAACTATACAATATCAACAAAGAAATTGGAATCATATTTTTTGCAGATATGCATTTAGATGGCATAGGTGTTGAAAAGGATATGAAAAAGGCATATCATATTTATAATAAACTTGCTAATGAAGGATCCTTTATTACATCTTTGTCTGAAGTAGCGGAATGTCATAGGAATGGATTTGGGGTCGAAAAAAATGAAGAAAAAGCATTTGAATTATATTTAAAATCTGCGGAAAAAGGAAACCTTATTGCACAATGTAGAGTTGGTTGGTGTTATATAAATGGAATTGGAACACCAAAAGATGAAACCAAAGGATTTTTGTTGTTTATAAAATCGGCCCTTGCTGGAAATATTAATGCAATATGGAGCGTTGGGTATTATTATTTCAATGGTGTAGCTGTTGATAAAGATTATCAAAAAGCATTTAAATGGTTTTTAAAGGCAGCTGAAAAAGGAGACTATGAATCTGAAAATTGGTTAGGATATCATTATAGAAATGGTTGTGGGATTAATGTAGATCAAGTGAAAGCATTTGAATGTTATAAGAAAGCTGCGGAATGTGGTGATATTAGTGGCCAATGCGAGGTTGGAAAATGTTTTTATGAAGGACGAGGAATTAAAAAAGATATCATAAATGCTGTCTACTGGCTAAATAAAGCAAAAGAAAATGAGAATATAGATGCCAATAATCTATTAATAGAAATAATTTATAATATAATATAAAGTAGTTGTTAAAAATTTTGTTTAAATATTATGTAATGTTTAAAAGATTATAGCATTAATAAAACTTATTTTTTTTAGTAATTGAATTCAATACTTTATACAAGATTTTGCAATTTCGTGTCTTTATCAGCAATTTGCAAAGTGGTACAATCGTAACCTTTATATACGTACTTATGTAAATATTTAATTGACTTGATGCTTAAATATATTTCAACATTGATATGACAAACAAATTTAAAAGAAAGATAAGGATTGTATGGAATTACCTAGTGATTATCTAATTTTACACATTTAATTAGTGCATATTGTCCATTTTCACGTTGGCGATATAACAGATATGAGTTATCTCCTTCTCTTGTTTCTTGAACAAATTCTTTTGGATAACATTTACTATATATATTCTTTTTCATGTACGAGACATTACTATTAAAAGGTTCACATGGACCATGAATCATATAAGAAACTATTGTTTGGTATAACCTAGGTTGCTCTATCAGATCAGATAATTCTGTAGATACAATGATATTATATTCATCAGTTCTATGGAATTTATTATCAAATTGAAATATTAATAACATATGTACATGTGAAAGATCACATTTTTGGAATTTCACTACATATATGCGAGCCACTACCTAACTGAGAACATTCCTTTCAAACAAATCCTTCTTAAGTTCCTGTAATTTTGCACAAAAAAACTCGAGCTTCAAAAATTAATTAAAAATTAGAAAAATAGAATAAACATTAGTGACAAATCAGATCAACAATAGTTACAACATAATAAAATTTGATAGATAAATATAAAATAAATAAACAAAATAAAAATTTTACCTGTTAAGTCTGGTCTATCTTGTGGTGTCTGTATTGACAAAAGTTCTGATGTAATTTCAGATCATTAAGAATTACATGTAATGGTGACAAATATATATATTTTTCCATAAACCTGTACCAATGCCATTGCATCCTGATAACGGAAATACATATCTCGAGGACCACCTATAAAAGATAAAGGCAAGATAATACAATGTCCTACTTCAGATATATCAACTAATCCCAATTTAACAGAATCTTGTAATCTCTAATAATATTCTTTACGAATTTTATTCTGGTTAAAATGTAAGTAATTAAAATGTAAAGATTCCATTTTAACATAGTTATCAACAATATATTATTATAAAAGTTGACTGCTGAGAAAAAGTATTGTTGGGAAAGATTCTCGAAAGTTAAGTTTATAAGAATAATATTACTTAATGGTAACTTTCTTTTGCAACATATTTTGCAATATTTCTGGGTGCCAGCCATTATCTCCTCAAGGAAAAAGAAACAGATATTGTATTGGATTATAGTAACCACTTAGTTTAGATACCCGTTGTAGTTCCTGTGATCACAATTGCATAATTATATCACGCTCAGTATATTCTATAAGTTCATTTCCTTCTATCTATACAGCAGTAACTTATGATACTGTTGGTACATTGTAAACATGTTGATCTAAGCCATGATAGCTCTGATAGAAAGACAAAGCTCTGTTATATTGCTAACAGAAGAAATCAAATGAAAATTGGTCACAAAAGGATTTAAATTGTTCATCAAAACACCTTAAAAATTATTAAATCTTTGTTAAAGTTGAGGCATTATAGTTAATCTATTTGTTGTTTTGAATTCAGTGTCATAAATATATAATTGAAGAAATCTTGGAATTCTGTTGACCAGAAGAAGTGATCCTATAGAATAATAGATTACTCCTTGTATTCAAAACATGTAAACTCTATTCTTGCCTATTTAATAAATTAATCAATATGTTATTGGTACATCTGCAACTTAATATAGTTTTTTAGAAATTTCTTACTGTTTGTAAGGTTTTCATCTAATTTGACACCCATAGAAGTAAGCTCTAATATTAGCATGAAAATCTTTTCCAACACATCATCTCTAGTAAATAAGTTTTTTAAAATTGCAGTATCACTTGTGAGAGTTAACCTGTTATCAACAAACTAAAGTCAATAACATCATATATAATAAATGTTTAATATTATTCTGATGAGCTATTCTGATAACTCGTTACCTGATTTTTTCAAACCCGCAACATGTTCCTTGTATTTTAGTAAAAAAAAAGTCTAGTATTACAGCAAGAGCATATATACATATCATTGAAATTGTGACGATTAAATGTAATTGTTTTACTGAAATAATAATCAATATTTTAAGCCTGAAACAAACTTCTTTTTGAAAAATGTGACTGTTATACTCTTCATATCCAGGAAGTATTTGTAATTTGACGTTCTTCAACAGTTTGTAAATGAAATGTATGAAGATGTAATATTTATCAAAGAAATTTACAAACAAAATTGGAAATTCAACTCACAGAATTAAAATTAAATCAAAGCAACTTTTGAATTTCAATAATTAATACAATTTTATTTTTATTACTAATCTGACAACAGATTATTATTTATACAATTTTCATATATAATACCAATAAATGAATTTCTTTATTATATTATTTCATCAACAATCTTAATCTTTAAAAAATATTTAAGATTAGTAATGACATAATCGAAATAAGTTAAGTGTTGATCGTAATCACCTCCTCCATTATTATTCTCCTCCTTGCTAAACCAAAAAGAGAAGAAGAATCATTTTGTTACACCAACCACTTTTCTCCATAAATCTTTTGTAAATCTTTTGATTTGAAAAAATCTTATTATGTCATATTCCTTTTGAAGTTCTCCGTTTAGATGTAAGATTTGTTTGAATCATCAATCATGCTTGTAAAATTTGACAGTTATCTCACAGTAATGTGTTACGACCAAAAAAAAAATCAAAAATGTTGAAGCGTACAGTTTTGGATTTTTTTTAATAATAAAGATTAATAAAGATAAAAATATCTATTAATATTTAAAATATTACAAATGTTTGTTATTATTATTTTTTTAAAATGTCCAATAAATTACATTAAAATATTAAGAATATTTTATTATTATTATATTTAAGAAATATAAAAAAAAATCCATTAAAATATTTCAAATGTTTTGATGTTTTTTCTTTTTTCAAAATATCTATTAAATATAAAAAATACCTCTTCTTCTAATGACTTCCCTTCCTTGTCACTTTTAGATTCTTCAGAGCTTACTGTCTTAAACTCAATCAGTTCTCTTTGATTAAGATTTTTCTATAAACAAAAATAGAATTTAATATTTCATGTATTTTGCATAATGAAATATTCTTTGCATTTTACTTACTTTATTTTTTTTCAGAATTTTTTGAATAGTTTCATCAACAATTTTAATAGTTTCTATTTTGGGGTTTAATAAATACTGACAAATAGTGAAGTAAATTTAATTTTTTCATTAAATAACTTCTTACTATTTTACTAGATTTTTTCTAATATCCTTGTATACCAAGTCATTTTTTCAATATTCAAAATACTCTGATTTAGTTTATTTACAATATTTTTGACCTTGAATGAATTCTTTTACACAATTTCTTGTAAAAAAGATTTAATATTTAACAATGGCAAATTATCTTTTCCAAAAATTGAAAAACTCACTGATCTTACTCATAATGTAATTAAGCCCCTTTAGCTCTGGTATTTTGTACTGAGCTTTAAAAATTTTATTAGCTTTAGTTAAAATTTAACTTTAAAATTATGAAACTTACTTTTTTATCAATATATTTATCATAATAAAAATAAAAATACTTGTTTTTTCATCCTTTGAAATATTCTGAATAATTATTAGTGACAACTTCCAAAGCAACAAATCTTAAATAGTCTTTTTTGAGATAGATTACTTTATTGATAGAATAGTTTGCAACCTTTGAAACAAATTTTTAATTAAAGATTTTGAAATATTATAAATAGTTCAACTTTGTAAATTCATTATCAGTATTAATGTCTTCTATTCCACTTATCTCAAATAATTTTCTTAGATCTGAAATTTCTCTTTCAATTTTATTTAATGATTGAATCATTTGCTCACATCTTTGCATGTGAATATGTTCTCATTTATATAAATTATATAAATAGAATATATTAGTATATATTTGAAATTTTGAAGTTTTTGAAATTTACCATCAGATTCTATTATTTCCATGCCTGATGTTATTTTTCTTCTTTTGTTTCCAGAAATAGTAGCAGTTGTTTATGATAATGATAATTATATTATTACAGTTTGTTCTGCTATTGCTGCTAATGTTATTACTACTGATATTGTTACAGCTGTTGATGTTGCTGCTACTACTACAATTGATGTTGTTTCTGCAACTATTGTTGCTGATGTTGCTGTTAGTATTGATGGTGTTGATAGTGCCAAAGCTTTTCAATATAATTTTTTTGTAAATTTTGATTTTCCAGTTAAAAAATTTGAAAATAATTTTTTATTCTTTTTTTTGTTTTTGTTGATGATATGAAAGTAAATTTTTCATTCAATTTTTTGAATCTATTCAAATTTTTTATTTTTTTTAATTATATTAAAATATTTGATAATATTTATATTATTATGCAAAATGGTTGTGTATCAAAAAATTTATATATTAAGATATTTTTTAAAACATTTAATTATATAATATATGGATAAGTCTCAATATATTATTTTAATATATATTAAATATATTATAATTATTATTGAATAAGTAATTATACTTTGACACAAGAAAAATTCATTAAATTATATTATTTTTATTTAATTATCAAGTTATATATTATTTTATTATTAGTTTTATTATTATTTCTTTATTTGTATTTTTATTTGTTTATTATTTATTATTAATACCTAAAAAAAAAACTCTTCACATAGATCACTTGTATTAAATATTCCCACAGTAGAGAAATACAATTTTTCACTGTAGTTACATATAAAACTTAGTTATTTTTCTAACTTTTTTACTCGTATGGGTAAGAAAAAACATAAATACAATACCAGAAGTGTTTCTGGTCAACAGGATGATAACAACAATCAAGAAAATAAGGAAAATATGAATTTATTACTACGCTAGCAACATACAAAATGAAAATAATACAACTATGAATATAGAAGAAGAAATAAAAATACCTTTGGTACCAGTGCACGCAAGTGAAAAAAAAGCTATTAGAGAGTTATTTGAAGAAGAAACAGAAATAAATATTAGTAATGTTGTTAAACCAGAATCAAGTGTTTCATTTGTGGCAGAACTAAAATACAAAGAAATTTCAGATGACAAAGAGAGATGATGACTTATATATTGAGGAAGAATTTGAAATAGTAAAAAGTAAAAAGAATAAAAATGATAGAGTCAAAAAAGTATCTGTGGAGAAACCTAAAAATATCTCTCCTAAAATCTGACATAAAGAAACTGGTATAAAACTTTGTAAAGTTTCTGTCGAAGCAAAAAAAATTAAGGGAAAATCATCTTTTGCAAAAATTCTTATGGTTAAAAATCTCCTTTTTCAAAATCAAATTGAAATAATTCTTGGAAAAATTGAAATAACCAATAAAATTAAAAATATAGTAATATAT